TTAATTAATCAGCAATTTTTTTAATTCATTACCAATTTTGAAAACTTGAGAGATTGCCTTCTTAAAAACTCCAAAATTCCTGGGTATAGTGGTGCACACCCGTAATCCCAGCTGCTAGGGACACTGAGACAGGAGGATTGAGAGTTCAAAGCCAGCCTCAGCAATGGCGAGGTACTAGAAACTCAGTGAGACCCTGTCTCTAATAAAATACAAAATAGGGCTGGGGATGTGGCTCAGTAGTTAAGGGTCCCTGGGTTTAATCCCCAGAACCAAAAAAAAAAAAAAAAAGTCTAAAATTATGACTTCTCTTGGATAATGGAAAGATGTGGTGAAACTCAGCTCATGTTCACACCTGGCAATACTGGGCAATGCCAAATAGCTGTGGGCACCTCCACCTCCCATCTCATCCCAGCGTCTCCCTCCAGGGGGTAGCTGTGTTGCTTCGCCTGGCCCCATGTGGGTTCGCAAGCCCCAAAACTTAGTGATCTCTAAATTTTTAGACCTGGAAACATCACAGCTCCTCCAGGGAAGCTGGTCATCCTTCTCCGGGAGGGAGAGGTGACCAGAGAACTGCCTAGGGCCACCTTTCCTACCTAGACCCAGCTGGGGAGGGAATTATTGCTTCAGCAATTCCCAGGCCTGGTGGGCAGTGCGCTGGCCCCCAGAACCCTGGCAGCCAGAGCCCATAACTCACGACTGTGGTTACCCGCATGCTGATTTCTGTTTTAAAAAATACTGCTGGATAAACAGTGAGGGAAACCCGAGCTGTTCCCACACCACATAAATTCCCGGTTCGCTGTCCTATCTGGTTAGTTGGTTTCCCCCAAATAAGGGCACGGCTGCCTCCAGAGCAAGGGCTGGAAAAGCAAGTTCCTGGGAAGTGGGAAGTGGGCGATGAGTCTCCCAGGTGCTCCAGCCCAGTCATGGAGGCCTCCTGCCTTCTCTTTCAGCACTTCCTGTCCAGGGGCACTCACCTTTGCCCTCACTCCCTCCACCTGGGCTGCCCTCCCTCCACCTGCCCTCCTCCCCCAGCTTCTCTCATTCACAGGAGACTTTTCCTGGGGACCCTGAGCTCTTCCAGAAACAAGGAAGTTCACAGCCCAAGTAAGTCTACTCCGTTACCACACCTCCCCCTGGAAGGCCCCTTTGAACTTCCCTTCCAGAACCTTCCGTCAAAAAATAATGCCCTGGCACAAAGGTAAAGCCAGAGCCTTCTCCATTCTGAAGTGCTAGATTAGTATGGCCAATCTTAGGGGAGAGGGTAGAGACACCCAGTTAAATTTGAATTTTAAATAAACAACCATTTTTTTAAGCCACTATATGTCCCAATATACTTTTTTTTCATTGTAGATAGACACAATACCTTTATTTTATTTATTTATTTTTATGTGGTGCCTCATATGTGCGAGGCAAGCGCTCTACCACTGAGCCACAATCCCAGTCCCTGTCCCAACATACTTAGGTGGGCACCCTGTATTCTACCTGGTGGCCCTACCTTGAGAACTTGTTCTGGTAGAGAAGGGGAAGAGGGAAGAATTGTTAGGGCCTCCAGTTTCCCAGCCTCCCTTGCAGTTCCACATGGCTGGGAGGAAAGTTCTGGTCAATGGGGCTGAAGAGTGATTGTTGAATAGAACTTATAGAAAAGTCTCCTTTGAATGGAGCAGGAAGATGGGAAGAGTCAATTTGTCCTTCTTTCCTGCTTCTCGGAACACGGACATGATAGTTAGGCATAAGGTCGCAAGTGGCTGAGGAGAAATGAGGTAGGTTTCCTGCTGACTTAAAGGACTTGCCAGGCCAGGCCAGACTGTCACCTCTGGACTTCTTTTAAGGGTAAGATAACCAACTGTGTGTGTCCCCTGTTGTTACTCTTGGGTTTTCCTAACTAATCAGTCTTGACTGATGCAAGCTTCCCTGGCCCATCCTTGCCAGGGCCTCACCCAACACCTTTGTAAGTCCACCTGCCTCTAACTTCATCAGGCACAGACCCCCTGGGAAGTGTCCATTGGCTGTCACCTGCTGAGTGTTTGAACGTCATCTATACAGTGATTCTCCACTTGACAGTTGAGGAGACTAAGCTTATGTGACTTCCAAAAGCCAGGCCATTCTGCATATTATTGTGTCTTTGGTCAGCTCCAAAGTTTTCAAAAATAGAGAAGTAAGAGAACATTGTCATCTGCAGAGTTTGTCTCCATCAGCACACTGTTTTGGGGGATTTGGGTGGGGGAACCATTATGGGGTCCCTGAGATAGGATGTCTTGGTCCCCTGGTAGGCGTCAATGTGACAACGGTAAGAATGGTTTGCTCATCTTCATCCCATAAACCATAGTGTCTGAGCCTCGTAAAGCCTTTGAGGGCAGTCTGGCAGGCAGTAGTAACCCTGCTGCTGCAAAGCTTTCTGGGAAGCAAAGGTCATTCATCCATATTCCAAATAAATACCTGGCCCAGTAGCAAATATCCTAGTTCACAGCCATTTCCAACATATTCAAAATTTGTCTCCTGTCCCATCTCTCAAGGTTTTGCCAGGGAATAGGTATTTTATCTGATTCACATGTCCTATTGTGTGAGTGGATACTAATTGCTTCATCTTGTCCTCTCTCAGGTGGCATATACATATTTTACAGAGGCCTTCTGGAGGTGTCCTTAAGGCAATGAACTCAAGTATTATCTGCATATGTTTCGACCGTGTATCCAACTGTGTCAAAAGCTTCCACAGATCACCTGGTTCACTTCTCTCAGCAGCTTAATGAGGAAGAAAGAAGCTTATTCCCATTTTACTGATGAGGAAACTGAGGCTCAAGTGACAAAGTGAGTTGACTCGAGTCATTCAGCTTATTAATGGAAGAACTGGCATTTAAACCCATGCCCTCCTGATTCCCAAGAATGTGGTCTTGATCTTTGAGTTATATGGCCATGAAAGAATAAATTTGGGGACTAGGTCGGGTGTCTTCCCCCTCCCTCCATCCAGAAGTAACCCCCTGGGGATCAGCATATTCAAGGAAAGAGAAGGCACAATAGCGGGCCTCATGCCTGGTGCCTGGCCTCAGACAGCAGTTCGGTTGTCCTTGTAGCAGCCCCACAAGGCCCTGCTGTCAACTCCATTTTGCCAGTGAGAAAAGTGAGACTCAGAGAAGAATTGACACTGCCTGAGACCACGCAGTCTATGAAAAACAAGACCCCACCTTGAACCTGCACCTTCTGTCTCCAGGTCCAGACCCTTCCAGAACCCCCTGCATCTCCAAGCCCACATGGGTGCCCGACGCAGCGGGAAGTAGGCCGGCCATGCCAAGGACACGCCCGCTTGTCATACATGTTGGAGGAAGTTCCAAAAGTTCTTTGGGATCGCTCAGGTGTGGCCAGCCCAGGGCCCTCCTCAGGGTCCCTGCGGACCTCCTCCTGACTTAGGCTTTTCCTGTTCCTCCCCAGGACAAGGACCAGAAGCTGCCTGGCCCCTCCCTTCCTGAAGGTTCTGCTTGGCTGGGAGGCCACAGGGCTTTCTCTACAAACAGCCACTTCCATCCATCTCTGTCTCCGAGGCCCTGGGCCTTGACAGGGCAACGCTGACTTTGAGGAGGTTAAAGGTGCTGGTGCTCGGCCTTCATCTAACAAATGGGTTGCCGCGAGGGGAGGAACTGTTGTTGTTTTTTCCTGGCCTCAGAAGACGGGCCTGTCAGGAAGATGTAGAGGCCGCAGGCCCCCCGGCGGCGCCCTCAGGGGCTGACAGACGCTGGCAGCTGCTGGGGCGCTGGGGTGCCAGGGCCCAGTGCTCCCAGCACAGAGCGCCCTGCCGTGCACCCGCCCCGTGCCCCTCCTGACCTCTCCGCCCACCCCACCGTGACCCCAACCCACCCCTTCCAGGGGCAAAGGGCCAGGCTGGAGGGGCCTCCCTGGCTTGGGGTCCCTGAGCCAGATGCAGAGGTTGGAGCAGGAATCCGGTTACAGCCTGCCAGGCCAGGCCCCAGGAAGATTTTCCTAGGGAAGCTGACAGGCTAGATTCTCCTCACAGCCCCACATGGATTCCTTACAGAGCCCCCAGGACCTCACAAGGCTGTTTTCCTAGAATTTTCTTAGTTTCCCTGGTCCCTCCCATGCGCTCTCTCAGAATCACCCAGGTTTGGTTTTTTTGTTTTTCTTTTGTGGTGCTGGGGATTGAACCCAGGGCCTTGTGCATGCAAAGCAAGCACTCTACCAACTGAGCTATATCCCCAGCCCAATCACCCAGGTAATAGGACCTAGATGGTGATAGAAAGGAAGCCCCTTATCCATTGTCCATTCTGCCCTCACATAAGTGGTTTCTTCTGAAATTCACAAGTGCCAGGGGGGTGGCCTTTCTGATAGAGCCCACACTGGCTTCCTGGGTTTGAATCTTGGAGCCTTCTCTTCCCAGATGTGCAACCTGGTTCAGGTGGACAGCATCTCTCTGTAGTTCAGCCTTCTGGGAAAGGGATGATGAGAATAGCCCATGCCTCAGAGGGCTTTGGTGGGGACCCACTGGGGTAATATGGGTAAAATGCTAAGATTAATGGATGAATATTGGCTAGGACTATCACCCCTCATGAGGAAACAAAGAATTAGAGAGGTGGGGTGACTTCTCCCAGGGCACACAGCTGGAAGTGGCAAATAGCAAATTGGACTTGGACTTATCTTATCTCAAACCCTACATTCCTTCTTCTATATCTGGCCTGCTCTAAACTAGATAGCTGAACACTCAGGAATGACTCTGGAGGAGCTGGGGATATAGCTCAGTTGGTAGAGTGCTTGCCTCATATGCACAAGGCAGGGTTCAATCCTCAGCACTGGAAAAAAAAAATGACTTCTAGTCCTGCCATTTTAGTTGATTTTGAGCAACTGAGTCATCTGACTGAGCCTTGGTTTCCTCACCTGCAGAATGAAATCACAATTCATACTTTACCTACAACAGGAGAATTTGGGTCTTAGAGGAGAATTGTGTGGGCAACAGCTAAGCCCTGGGCAGATGAGAAAGATGGGTCCAGTTCGTGGCTATGACCTACCCTCTCCTATTGGTCTATATCACCCTAACTGCTAGTTCCAGAAGACCGGGTATCTTCTCATGAATAGTGTGGATGTGCGCATACCTCACCCCACATCCTTTTGCAGCATTTCCTGTGCCCTGGGATGCACAGCTGACTGGAGTCTAGGTTAAAGACTAGTTGTAGCTTCTGCTCCCTACTCCGGGCCCCCTTGCTCTCTTTCCAGACCTGTCACACAGAGTACTTCCTGCACCTTTCCCCAGAGCGCTGCCTCCAGGCTGCAGAGCTAACTTAAGCCCACTGGCCCTCCTCCGGGGAACCTGGTGTCTTTGAGACAAACCAGGAGAGACATTGCTGTTCAGGTCCATGTCTGTTCTTGCCTCCCTCCTGCTGTTCTGTGCTGTGGAAATGCCCAGGGGAGATGTGCTGTGGCCCCGGCATGTTTGGAACATCATCCTTGGAGAAATTACATTAAACTTCTGAAAAGATCAGCAAGGCATGGCCACGATGTCGGCGGACTGGTGGCCAGTTGAAATGGCCCTTGGGCTGGCCATCCTGCGACAGGCACCAGCCCAGAAGACCTAAGTGACTGTCTGCCAAAGAAAGTCCCCTTCAGGGATTATTTAGGGGGAGAAGCTCCTGAGTCCTGTTTCCATGCTCTGGTTCCATGACCTTTGGCAGTTGAAAAGGGAAGCAGGTGGGGGAGGTTAAGGGACAGGGAGCAGGTGAGAAGGTTAGGAGGACAGGGAGCAGGTGGGGGGAGATCTGGAGAAACTTCAAGGACTTTGTTTAAGAGGCTTGCCTTTGCTATGGAGAAAAATGACCTGGAATCACTCTAGAGAAGAGTGTGGCTAATTGGCATGTAAGTAAGAGGTTAAAAAGTGCAAGAAGAATCAGATGGCCTCTTTTAAAGCTGGTGAGAATGTCACTACGGGCAGGAAGAAATGAATTGGTTTTTTTTGTATGTGTGTGTGTGTGTGTGTGTGTGTGTGTGTGTGTGT